ATTCAAACTTTGCAGAAGTTAAAGTTGATATCTGATTTCTTCCAATATCAGTTGTTTGGTGACAATTTTTTTTCATATCAATAGTTATAAAAAAAAACAAGTCATAATAACAGAGTTATTATACTTGTATATCAATGTGTTTGAAATACATGGAGATAAAAAAATGCATTTATTTCAGTACTGTGCAGTTTTTATATGTATTGATTGACCTTATGACATTCTGTTGGTCAATTCTTAAAGAGTGTGAAATTCTCAAAAAGTTAGCTATGCGCTTGTTTTAGGGATATCTCTGTATATGAATGTAATATTTTCATTCCTACCAAACTTTTAAAACAAGCAAATAGATAGCTAAAATTTATCAAACCTTTTAATAAATGTGATCGCAAGTACAGCGATTTGTTGTGAAACTATAATTCCAGCAGCAGGAATTTATCAAAAGTGATATTTTACACATAAAATTGAGAATGGAAACATAGCTTTCTTAACCAGACTCAAGCTAGCAACCAATTTCAGCGACAAATCAAGCTAGCGACCAATTCTATCGACCACTAAAGAACACGGTAATATTATCCATTAATCTAAAAATAAGTATTAGAAATTGTCCTGTACATTTTTCTATAGGGCTAAATGGTTAAAAATTATAATCATACTGTTGTTCAATCATTGCATCTAGTATTTGGGATTAACATCAATTCGCAATTCATAATTAAAAACAAGACTAACTTTCTTATTTTATTTATTTTTTCCTGCAAATTTCCTATGTCGTTTTAAAAGATCGTGTCTTCCTGTTCTGGTTATGTCGTTACTGTTTGAAATCTATTTTGATTATAGTCAATATTGCAGTGTAGCAATTACTTTGAGTACTTTGAGTTTGCTATTAGTAACTGTGCACATTGTTTGATTTTATTATTGTATCGATTGTTTTTGTATTTTTTTATGTCCAGCATATTACTACAAAAGTCATGTGAATGAATTGAACAGAAACCCAAGTAATCTACCAATTACACCCAATTATCCAAATAACAAAAAAATATGATATACTACTATTGAAAAGGTTCCTCACTTGGGACAGGCATATTAAAAATGACGGGGTTATACTGTTTATGTATTATTTTATTTTTCATTTCGACCCTCCCACTTTTTAATCTCGATCTGTAGGTTAACGCGCAATTAAAGGAACAAATAACAAAGACACACAATCATAACAAATTATACCGTATTTAACAAATATCGCAGTTACGAAAGCAATCTAAAATTACTTAACCTGCTGTTAAGAAAGCATACCATACTACATTTGATATCGGTTGCTGTACTTTAAAGAAGATATCATACAATTAATAACATCATTAACAGAACATAAAGACACAATACTGTGCAATGCCCAAAACAATCCGTAAAGGAAAACAAAAGAAACATTTGAGTATTGCTTCAGACTATAAATTAGCGAATTGGAAGTACACCACTAATTCATGGCCCCATTGCTTTCTATGTTAAATTCCTCAATTTCAAGCAGGCACAGCTCTTTCGTTTTAAGTTCAAATAAAATGACAATCATTGCATGTCAAAGCAACACTTTATGGTGCCTTGTACTAAAAAAATCAACATACCTTTAATGGCATATAAGAAAGAACTGGTTCCCGGAACCTCGGATGTACCAAAACAGGTACTCCAGATCTGACAAACAGGAAAAATGTACCCTCTTTTTTAAATTTCATGCAATTTTTTTTATTATTCAAAATTATAAGTCAAAAAGTGTTCTACAATGATCACCAGTCATTTAGCTTTCATTTGATACAAAAATTGCCTAAATATTTTACATATTTTGAAAGTAACACCCATGCATAGGAACTATTTTGTGTTAAATATGTACTACTTTCTGGTACATGTATGTGCTTTCTGGCCGGGCCCGAATTAGTAGTGTTACACCAATTGATATTTATCCCAAAAAATATGAGACGTAATGATTGAACACCATTATTATGATTATAACTTTTATCACTACGTCTTTGAAGCCAATGAGACATATTTAAAGACTTTTTAAACACGCGTGAAAATAAACCTACTTTGTTTCCTCCTGGAATTTTGGGTCCTCAATGCTCTTCAACTTCGTACTTTATTTGGCTTTTTTAACTTTTTTGATTCGAGCGTCACTGATGAGTCTTTTGTAGACGAAACGCGCGTCTGGCGTTTAAAATTTTAATCCTGGTATCCATGATGAATTAATTAGTAATATATTCCACAATGATATCCTTTGAAACATTCAAATATATCAAATGAATTTCTGCATTTCTTTAGTTTAGTTCTACCTTAATATGCCTGTTTGGTTAATTGCTTTAGACTTTTATGTTTTTGGCAAGTTTGTTACTCGGTATATTTCTTAGCGTGGAGTATTTGTTATTTCAATTGTTTAGGATAATTTGGCGGGAGTGGAGTGCATATTGCACTATCATTTTGGTTAAACTGTATAAAAACACTTTATATATAGGTTAAAACTTCAGAAAATTGTGAGCATAGCTCACAAATCCATACTGATGATGAAAACGAAAGTCGCGGAGAGGCAGCTTCAACATGGGGAAAAAAGTCTCACCTCGCTGCAAATAATGACGGCCCCTAGCACCCGGGCCTGTTTATGCGGCACTTTATTCTGTCGATCAGACATCATCCGTGTTTTGAAGAATATCAACAAATTATCAAATATTACTGGCAAAGAAATTAACAAATACTGGCCTAAATTGTCCGATAATCTGACTTGAAAATACAAAATCAGTACAAACATATATACAATCATTTGGCACATATAGATAACTGTCAGATAACTTGGTAGGACATTACGTATGAGTAGGGAAAACAATCCTCCTCCCGACCTTATCTTAGATTTTGCATGTTCTAAACATTGCAGCGTAAAGATTACAAAATAGATGAAGAGATGCACAATGAAATACTGTATGTAACAAAGATTATATGACAATTTTATTAAAATTAATGTCTTGGTTTTCGAGAGAGTTTTTTTTTTTTTTTTTTTTGGCAGATATGGCAAACTTCATGTTATGCAACTTGAACACCCTTTTCCCAGAAAAAAATTATGTACATTTAAAAATTGATAAAAAATAGAATTAGGTACTTAGATTTTATGAAAGCCTCATTAATATTCAGTCTCTGTTTTATGGGAAGTTGCGGATACAATGCACTGACGGACGAGGAAGGGTCAAGGAGGCTGCACACTGTCTTTGGTGATTTTGTACAATGTCCTTAATGTGGACTGTTTGTTGAGGGTGGTATCACTAATGTGGAAATATTAATAATTTTGAAATACCCAAAAAAAAACGAAGATCTCCCTTAGATATGTATTTGATCAATATGAAGTCATGACTTGAATTTGTTTACTGATTAAGTTTGCAAACTAACCGCAGATCGCTTTCATGAAATTGTTTTGCATTTGGTATATCTCATCAGCTGGCAATGCTTTTTCCCACATAGATATATGACTTGGAGAATTAAGCTTAACAAAAAAAAAGTAATTCTTAGTTTGTATTATATGTAGCATGAACATTAGCACATGGTCTGAATTTCATAAGCGAAAAGATTGCATATGTATTCTGTAGAAAAAATCATTCTTAGCAATGTCAGGGTGGGAGAGCAGTTGTTTACACTTTGAAAAAAGAATAGACAACTGTCATGATATACACGTGCTTACTTCTAACACTTTTTAAAAGTAATTAATGAAAAAACATCAGATAAATAAGTTTCAGCAACCTTGTCAAAAAGGAAGTTTATTTGTTCAGAGGCAGAATTCCTTAATATTGAAAACAGTAGTGTGCGAGACAGCTGTGTGGATGTAAAAAAGCTGAAAAAAGTTATACAGATGTAGAAACAAATCTTGCGAAGAAAACTGATGCGTAGCGTAACGTTGTGACGAAAAAAACAAGTAAACTGTTAACATAAAATTGTTCCTAGGTAACACTAGATCCCCCTTAGAAAAAACAAGTAAACTGTTAACATAAATTTTTTATCCATTCTTGTGCCAGTTGCAATTTAAAACTAGATGTGTCGGAACGACACGAATGGGCCCTCTCACAAAAAAGCTTGAAGCCATTTTTAGGAGTAAAAATCTGAGAATGAAAGTCCGTATAATTGTTATGTTTACGAAATTTTCAAAGTCAAAATCCCGTAATTTCGGCACAAATCAGTGGAGCGGAACCAGACGTAAACTCAATCTTTATCTCATCATAGCAAACTCACATACTAATAAAAATGTTAACACGCCTAATTGTTATTTTGATAGTAAAATGCAAATGTTGAAATCAAAATATCAGTACTTTAACATGTAAGTTATGCAAAATTTTCTAGGTCAATGAACCATTACTGAAGGAACAGGGCCAAACAATCTCCATGGAAATGAGATATGCCAAAGCTATTACATCTGCATACCAAATATCATTGACCTACCACTTGTGGTTCCCCATAAACTGACCTAATCACAAACTAATACAATGTTAACTGAGCAAAAGATTCAAAGCCAATAGACCATGACTGAGGGGGTAGGGCCAATTAATCTCCATGGAAATGAGATGAACTGCATACTAAACATCATTAACATCATTCCATCTTCATGCCTAATATATCATGTACTGTGTTACAACTCTAGATTCTACTGACGAGGAAAGGTAATACTAGGCCACCGAAAACTGAATTTTTAGTTCAGCCTAGGTAGCCGAGTGGTCTAGAGCGCTGGACGCAGTGCAGGCGGTGTTGTCTCGATATCCCAATAGCATGAGTTCGAATCCCGGCGAGGGAAGAACAAAAAATTTGCTTCCGCAGATTTAACATTGTTGTGAAGATATTTAGAGTAATTATGAATATAATATCTGTTTTCAGCCGTGTATCACCTTCACTGCTGATCCAATAGATGGATCTGTCGTAGAGTTGTCACTTGTTTAGACGTACTTATCATATAAGTACTCTAATATATATATATATATATATATATATATTTGAGAGAGTGATTCCTGAAATAATATATTTTTTGAATAACACGATTTAACATTACAACACAATTCCAACATTTTCTGCAATGCAATATATTTTTACAGTTGTTCCTTCGAAATTGATAGGATTGGCAGGTTAACTCTTGCTTATGCAAAACTACAGACATACATCTAATCTGAGTTTGCATGAAAATGTAGTCAAAAATCCTTAAAAACACAGGAACAAATGTAGTCCCTTACGCATGTTGAAGAAGGGTGTATAGCCTATTGATCCAAGTAAATAGTTTAAAACTTAGAGTATGAATGCGTTTTTTAAATAGTGCTGAACTGAAAAAACATGCTACAATTAAACATTATATAGGACTATAGACTCAACTTGCAACAACTTTCTATAACACTTCCGAATCGACCGTAAAAATCTTCTTTTCTACAAATAAACAAGTAAATTTTGTATATATAATTTTCAGTTCATCGTATTTTGTCCTATTTTGTGCATTTGTAAACCAATGTTCAACGGATTAGTTTTGATTTAAACCAATATCTGTGCTTCAACTTGATGCTATAAGACACGTACCTTCACCTGCCTTTTTCACATTACGATACATACGTTACACCGATTAACGTCATGTCCACTGTATGAAAATTTAAACTTATAAAACTTGTGTCATGCCGACAAATCACATAAAGTCGTTCTCTGTGAATCTTCGATCTCAGAATTTGCGTTTGTAGATGTAATGTTTGGAGCCATTATTGGTTTCAATTGTCCGTCAACTTTATCTTTCACTAGTTTTGTGCCTTTCACCCTTTTCCATTTCATCCGTCGGTTCTGGAACCAGACTTTAACCTACATACAAAAATGTATAGAAGGATAGAAGATATACATTGTATTGTAATTATGTAAAGAATGCTGGGTATACAATCTATTCTAAGTTCATGATATTACTATGAAAGTTTGTTATTAGACACATTTAAGTGTAAAATACCTAATTAACAAATAACATTTTATGAAAGTTTACAAGTGATTTTGCTTAGAATTCTAATATAGTTATGAATTATGGTTGCCCAGAGGTACATGTATACGCTGATAATCAATCCTTAATCACTTCTTTTAGTAGTTAGTTTTCATTTGAGTTTTTTTCTTTATAGTTACTCACCAATCATATTATCGGGTTGATTTATGTAAATAAATAACAACCTTTTTGAACCTTTTAATGTCTAATTGTGTCTGTTTTCTTAGCTGTCACTTTTTTCATATATAACTGTTTTCATTTTACATACAACAACACTTAATACAGAGAAATATTTGATAAATAGATATAAGAAGATGTGGTATGAGTGCCAATGAGACAACTCTCCATCCAAGTCAAAATTTATAAAAGTAAACCATTAAAGGTCACAGTACGGTCTTCAACACGGAGCCTTGGCCCACACCGAACAGTAAGCTATAAAGGGCCCCAAAAAATTACTAGTGTAAAACCATTCAAACGGGAAAACCAACGGTCTAATCTATATAAAAAACGAGAAACGAGAAACACTTATGAACCACATCAACAAACGACAACTACTGAACATCAGATTCCTGACTTAGGACAGGTGAAATGCTCACTTCACATACTCGGATTTTTTTTACGAATCGCAAACATTCTTACGATTTGGAAACTTTGACGACCGATTTTAGAGTTGTTACGAGTTATTAGAAGCTATTTACAGGTTTTTACAGATTATTACTATGTATTTTTGGCAAAATTCCACGATTTGTTACGAGTTGTCACGGATAACTGCGAGCAACTTATGAACATTTAACGAGCTTTTTATGGATTGTTACGAGTATATTACGGAATGTAATTATTCATCGAATCTTTTACGTGTTAGTTACGACATGATTACGTGTTGTTACGAATATCTACGAGTTAGTTACGAGTATCTACGAGTCCTTACGATTTTGAAGCTTTTATACTTTTACCCAAATCCTAAACAATTCATACGAATACGTAAAGTATACTATCTATTCGTAAAGTAATCGTAAATAAACGTAAAGTGCTCGTAATAACCCTTTACAATCCGTACAGCCATCGTAAAACGATCTGAATAAAATCGTAAACAACACGTAAGCACTCGTAATAATCCGAAAACAAATCGTAAAATAACCGTAAAAAAACGTTTAAAAAATTGTTACGAGTCATTTACGGATTCTTGCGAGCAGTTTACAGATGATTAAGTGTTGTTGTGAGCGGCTTAAGAGCGATTTTCGATACTTACGAATTGTTACGAGTTATTAACGGAAAAATCAATCCGCGGACAAATCGGAAAAAGATTTTTGACATGTCGAAAATTTGCCTCTCCTTTCACGAATCATTAAGAGTGTCGGCGAGTTGTGACGAGTTATTTACGGATACCAGCGAGTTATTTGCATATGCTTGCGACTGACTACGAGTTTGGGATACGAATGGATTCGCAAGAAAAATCCGTGTATGTGAAGGGGGAATAAAGCCTTTGTTCACTACAACTTTGTTGCAAGTCATTCAATGATCTGCAATTAAACGTTTAGTTTGTTTTGCATGATTGTTGTATCACATGTTTTGATGGCCATACATTTATGTACTTACTTGTCTTTCTGTGAGATCCAAGGCAACTGCTATCTCATACCGTCTTAGTCTCGTCAGGTAATTATGTACTGCAAATTCTTTTTCTAATTCTCGTATTTGGTGTTTAGTAAATGCTGTCCGCTCTTTTCTTGGTTTTACTGATAAATCTAGTTTATATGGATCACTGCTGTCTGAAAAAGAAAATAGCAAATATAATTGATATTCAGCATGATAATGTCAATTATCTGGTCTCAACAATACTTATTGTCATACTACAGTATTATGCACAACAGATACAAATTTTGCAATTCAAACAAAGTGTTTCATATTGTCGATTCTGATCCAACTGTCTGATTGGTAACATTTTGCCTATAAAAAGGGAAGTGTGATGACATTAAGGGAGAAGGAAAACACAGTTAGGGGGGGGGGGGGGGGGGGGGGAGACTGTCAAAGAGGGAAAGAAATTTAAAGAAATTAGGAAAAGGGTCAAGATTGAAGATGACCATAAGAAGTTGTAGAAAAGGTGACGCATCTATATGTCTATCGTCAAAGAGATTTTATATATGAAAAGTATTCAGGAAATACAAGCATTCTTAAAACTCCAACGACTTAAATTTATGGTTTTCATCTTATTTAATTGCCTATCATGGTTTTGTTTATTATTACAAAATGTGTGTATCTGTTTCGGGAGAGGCATGACCTATTCTTGGACTACACACACATTTTCTCTTCCATTTTATTACAATAAACGCACATTAAAACTTTACCAATATACTGTAGGCAATTTTGCTACAATTTTGTTTTCTCGTTTATTCCAAACAAACATCAGTCTAATTGCTTAATGCCATTCAGAAGCAGAACAACAGACTAGTTACTAATTACTAAAATGTCCCATCGAGAATGTGTTGTATTTATATCCTATCCTTCAACAAAAACTGTTTGGGAGCGATATTCAAACAGAAATTAATTACGTTTAGGATGGTTTTTCCATCATATTTTTCGGTTATGGTTGTAGAGTTTTCTCACATCTCTAAATAATGAGAAAACCAGTTCTATAGGGACTTGTTTTTGAACGGTATGTTGCTTTCGCGTAGAAATATAGACCACACGTGCAAAGAGACTGACGAGAAAAGATTTGTTTTCAAATAATAAAGTTATGGAAGTACAATTTTCAAAGATGCTAGTTGTTGGAACATGCACTTTGACGGAAGAAGAATATTGGTTATTTTGCACTGTCAATAAGTGATTTTTTTTTAATGTTGACCTGGAACAGTTTTCCATTACTTAAAATGTATCTTGAAAGAAACCGTATATCAGTGCATCAGAGAGTATTTAAATGAAATCCAAATGTAAACCGAAAAGTAAAAGAGTAATGTCTTTTTATTGATATCCGTTTTCCATTGTTTTAAATGGCCTAAATAAAAAGCCGACGCGGAAAGGCATTACTCGACTAACGAAAAAGAGAGGCGAAAGATACCAAAGGGACATTCAATTTCGAAAGTCAAAAATGAACTGTCAACGCCATGGCTAAAAAAAGAAAAGGACAACAGACAAACAACAGTACACAAAACACAACAGACAAACAACAGTACACAAAACACAACATAGAAAACTAAAGACTGAGCAACACGAACACGACCAAAAACTGGGGGTGATCTCAGGTGCTCCGGAAGGATAAGCAGATCCTGCTTCACACGTGGCACACGTCGTGTTGCTGATACAATTATATTCTAATGCAATTCGTTTAGGACGAAAAATTTCATTGGACGTTGAAACATATTTTGAAGGGTTAAATTCCACGTTCTACCAGTCCGTAACTAAGGAAAGCCACCATTTTGAATTCCGAATTATTTTGGAATGTAATTTCTCCAAAAAATATACCAAACGGTCACATTTGTGCCTCAAAAACTTCTTTTTGTCAATATCTAAACCTTCCAGAAGCGTACGAAAAGTATAAATACGTCGTGTTTATGTTTGACGTCGGGAGTATACCTATGACGTCACATTGTTTAGATGCCAAAGACGATGTAACAGTTTCGCGGACTTTTTCTTTTAACCCTCTTGCTGCCAAAGGGACATTTATGGCTTCTACACACAAAACTTGTTGATTCTGTAGAACGTCAAAAGTCCATGGAAACGTCACAATACAGAGGGCACTGACAACGTAAAAGCACGGCAAATGATGAAGGATCATAAGCTTGTTAGTACTATAATACCAACTTATTTAACGTGTTTACTAATTAGAATCTATGTAGTTCGTCATTTTCCAACATATCATCCTTTCCCAGTTGCAATCTCAATTTTTAGCCATTCATCTCAGATCTTTTACTTTGTAGGACCTACTGAGTAACAGATTTATTGTTCATTAGATCTCAGTCGTCCTTTATATTGCATGAAATACCTGCCACTGAACGTTGAGCAAACAACAATTTATCAATCAACGAATTTTAAGAGATATTTCATGTTTGCCAATTACAATGTGTATTTCATCATAGAAAATGAAAATAAAAATATAATATTTTCAAGTCATGAATAATGACTGATTCAGGTTCACATGTAGACAATAGAAATTATTTTTAGAATTTCTTCTCTCATTTTTCAGTTTTTCAAATTCACATTTCAAACATTTCTCTAAAATTTTGTGCAATTAGTGGTCAACAAAATAATAATAAATATGGTTAAGAAAAAAAAATGAATATGGATAATAAGGTTTATAAAAATTCTTTCCTCGCCTACCGAAACAAGGCTTGGAATGAAAAATTTAATCTGACACATATAATACTTTTCACCACGAAGTAGTTCATACAATCGGCTACTCGGAGTTTTGTTTATTTTTATTTGTACATGCATTTTTTTAAATTTTTTAAATTTTTATTGGGGGCCGTTGATTTGTTTATATAATTGTTTGAGAGATTCTTTACGGTCTTTTTCAATTATAACAAGGTTTACTAAGCTAATTAGATAACAAGGATAAATATGTTCTAGTATTTTAGAGGTGGTTAAGAATCAGTTATGCATTTCACTTGACAAAGATAAAACAAAAGCGCTTATAAAATAAAATATTTAGCAATCTTCATTTTTTTTCAAGATAAGAAATGTAAAAAAAACTATATTTCAAGGTTAAAAGTATTAAAAACATCGTTTATAACAATCTTAGAGCAAGAATTTTTATAAAATTACTTTTACATCGCTTTTCCTAATCTAGTTCCTAATTACGGCTAAATTGACGAGGGAAAACTTATGAACGGCGGGAAAGTGCTGTTCTACAGAGAGGCACAAGTTTTGCAACGTCACAAATATGAAACGTCAAGATGCTTTTGGCGCGACAAAGCAAGAAATAAACTCGGCAGCAAGAGGGTTAAGGCATTTTAGGCCAAAATATTTACTAAAATGGAATTTATTTTAATATGTGGCATGGAGATAACTGCTATATATAACAAGAAATTCTGCTCAAACGGATACCGAGGGCCTTCTTGGACTAGCAGTGTAAGCTTTTGTTCCTATGACGTAAATATAAGCATCGATAGGTCTCCGTACGACCTTCAAAATTTAACAAAACCCACGACGTAAAGTAAGCATATTAAGACCTCGACATGAGAACATGTAAAACAATTCAAAAGAGGAAACCAACGGCTTGATTTATGATAAAACAATAACTGAAAAAAAACCAAATATGACAGACACCAACTTCAATTACTGAATTACAGGATTCTGACTTGGGACACGCACATACAGAATGTGGCGGGGCTAAACATGTTTGCGAGCGTCCAATCCTTCTAATCTTGGACAGTATAGTGTAACAGAACAATATATATAGAAACAAACTGTAAAACCTAGTTGAGAAAGGCTAGCTTTGACTCATAATATCGACACGAAGCATACACAAAATATCAACTAACAAAATAACAAAATGTCAAAGGACAAAGTACTGATCTAAGAGTATTCACAGTAACTGAGAGATTTTTCACAGCGATTTACAATCAATAAATAGCCTAATTATATATATTTTCGACGTGTGTTTGTGTATGTGTACGAAAAGCAAAGATCAAAATAAGGAAATTCAAAACTTAATACCGGCAAATTATCACGAAATTTTTTTTTAAGATGAACATGTGCTCCTAAAAATTCAGCAATCGCTTCAAACTTGAAAAAAATACATGCAGTTAATTTCCTCATCTTTCCTTTTTTTCTTTTTTCTTTCATTGCTCTCATTTCCTATATATCTATAACCTTATGTTAATCAAATTTGTTCTATCTCCTAAAGTTTTGCTTATCTTAAAATAAGAAAAATAATACAGGAATATTGACATGCATGCATTTTTGCGTGTAATCTTTTGAAGTGGTAATTCCCAAGTGCTAAATGCTTCTACGATTTGACGTGAACAAACAGCATCTATCTTTGTGTTACTTTTGTTTTTCTTAAAGTAAATGTGTTTACCCGCTAGTTACAGCTAAATAAATTTGATCCAACTTGAAACTGCCATTTTATAAAATACTTCGATAAGTCTGATTTATCGTGTGTTCATTTCACTAAAATAATATTCCCAAATGAAATAGATAAGTTATATAAATATGTAAAAAAGAAACATTAAAGAATTAATTACAAAACCAGAGCTGCAATGCGTTATCCTTCATCTAAAATATGTGTTTGGTACGAAAACTTTATACATCTTTTTGACTATGGATACATTGCAAAAACACATGAATAACGCATGGGATGGGTAACTTTAATATCAATGTTTCGTTTCTATGAAATGTAACAGCCCTTTTACTTTGAAAAAAACCCTTGAAAAATTACATTACTCGACAACACTTGTGGATTTTAAATATTGTAAGTAAATGTTCAAACTAGATTCGATAGACATTGGTTCTAACACGATTTTCTGTAGATATGTTTTCGTGGGTTTTTTTTTCCCCAGCTGGATAGAGGTTATTTTTTTCTGAATTATGTCTTTAAAGAGTTGGTCAATTTTCTCAATTATAAACTTTAATTAAGGTAGTAGTACCACATATCTTTCGTTATTTTTACCTGAATGTCCAACTTCGTTTCAGAAACACTCGTGATTCACATATACACCTAATTAATGCTTAATGTCATTTGAAACTAGTTTCTTTCAAATATAATGTTATCAAAATTATTGAACCAATGCATGCATATATACTAAACTAAGTTCTATATGAGCGTTTTTTT